TTAATATGTGTAACCAATTTTGATTATCTAAATTAATTAATAATGCATGTAAAGTTACTTATATTAAAATCAAATTATTATATTAGTATGTTTGACTTACGGAGTTAGCGTTCTTCACGATACCCTCAGCCTGGGCGCTGATGCCATTGCCGGTTTCGTAGACGTATTGGTAGTTGCCTTCGGGGCTGCTTTCGTAAGCTGACTTGAGGATGGGAGCCTGGGACTCATCGCTTCTTACGATGTGGGAAACATCAGCGCTGGCCAAAGCCACGGCGGCAAAAAGGACTAGGAATTTCTAAAAAAAAATTTGAAAAACAAAATCAGTTTAGACAAATATCTTAATCTTTGAATTTAAAGACGAGATAGTTAATTATATTTTTTTTTCTTGTATATTTTTAATGTCTTACCATTTTGATTGGAGTGGGCTTACTGAGTCTGATTCAGTGACAGTCTGATTTGAATCGGTGAACAGAGGTCTTTATATAGGTAGTTTGCGTCCAGAATCGATATGCGAATTCATTATTTTCTTGTTTTTTTTTCTGTGAACTTGTCGCGTCGCTTGGACATTATTCATTTGGATACGCGCATCATTATAAATTCAATCAGGAGGCTTCCGGATGGACACAATAATTATTATTAATTAATTAAATTATGTTAGACTTTTAAAATCGATTTTAAATGTTTCAGTCTTTTGGTTACAAGTTCCAACTTGTATACATTATTTAAAATAGTAAATTGTATACTAAAATAAAACATACGTAGCTACGATATCTGTCCAATGTACTTTACGCGTGATTTGCTATAGGCGGAATACTTTTTATCTTTTGAGATAAAAAGATAGATTAATCTATCTTTGATTTAATTTAACATATTGTTGTAACTTAGGATTATGAATTGTTACATGTATTTTTTTTTAAAATTTTTAGATTATTTTCTAAATTAACTAATATTTCTTTTACCATTCCAACTAAGCTCTAGACTTGTGCTAGGATATGGTTTACGACAATAGTCGAATGGCGGGATTTGAACCCCCGACCTCGTTATCGGAAATCCGTACCTTTAACCATTAGGCTGTTGACGCTTAAAGCGCGCTTATTTGATAAGGTTCGGGAAATATGTTTATTTTAAACCAATATGAGCAGCGTAAGAGAAGGCAAATTAGTTTAAAATTGATTTGTAAACTTTCCTCTCTAATATCGGTGTTATTAATTCGTTTAAAGTTTTTTTATTTAAGAGAGATTATTTATTTTAAACATGATGTTCAATTTAGTGATGTGCTAGTATATTAGTGTTTATGAAAACATATAAATAATGCCCTAGAAAGCTTAATTTGTAAATTAAACCTCATAAATCTAAGTTAAAAGTTACATTATATGTAACTTAATGTGTATCTTACTTATTTAAGTGTAACTAAGTATAATTTCTACTATTTAATATATTTCTATAACTTTATTTTCAACTTTTACTCAGGTTATTTTCTATATTATTAAGGTGAACAGTAAACTATGTAATTGTTAACTACTATGTCATTTTTCTAATTGAAAATTAAAAAATTATTATTCTTTAAAAAAACGTATTCTTCATTGCATTAATGAAAGTAAAACACACTGTTTTTGTTGCTTTAAATGACTGGAGACAAGACATTCGTCAAAACATTTGTAATCCTTAAAGGGCATTGTCATCATCAGCTGACTATACGTCCCCACCGAGGGGCTCGAGGGCTACCCTAAGTTAAGGGTGATTAGGCCATAGTCAACCACACTGGCCAAGTGTTGGTTGACTTTACACAATTATTGAATTTCTTCTCAGATATGTGCAGGTTGCATCACGATGTTTTTCTTCACCGTAAGAACGTACGATAAATGTACATACATATGTAATTCGGAGATCGAAAAACACATTTGTATATGGCGGGATTCGAACCCAGGACCTGCAGATGCCACCGACGCTCAAGGGCTTTGTAAACAAATCAAAATCAACTATAATTATCAGCTGTCCAATCCTTATTAATGTGAAGGGTCACAAAAGATGACATCATAAGATAATCTACGTCATCTTTAATTCTATAAAAATGGTCAACCTTCGACTCATGAATATAAATTTAACATTCGCAGACCACAAAAGGTTATTATTACTTGATATGTGATATTTTTCTATATAATGTATTCTATACGAGTGAGCGCTATGCTTCTTGATACTTGACAGTCAAGGTCGAATTATCGCTAACTCTATATAAATCAATGAAACGTCTTATCGTGTTTGCATTAGTGAAAGATTTTTAATCCATATCTAAATTAATATATTAATAGTGGAAAAAATTGTTTTGTTATTATTTTCATTCAGAAAGTTGCTATTATCGAGTTAGTTGGTATTGATCGAGTTTGACCTTGAACTAATATAATTTATTTTAAATCGTAAAAAGAAATCTGGTAATTACATACTGTAATAACAGGTTTTTAACTTTTAATTTTATTTGTATTTTTACTTTGTTTCGAGGTTATGTAATATACGATAACTTAAACCTAAACGATACGGTCTACAAATGACTAATTTATTATATAGAAAAGATATCAACGCGCGACATCTGCTACCATTGATTCTTCACATTAAAAAAACTTCAAACAATAGAATTAATCAAGTAATTTTAAGATATAAAGCGTCGGTGGCTTAGGAGTTAAAGCACTTGACTTCTTGATGACAGATCTTGATGAAATTTGACAAAGATGTAGAACATAGTCTGGATATAACATATAGGTTAATCGTTAAGTTTTTTTTTTAAATTCCGCGCGGACTGAGTCACGGGCGACAGCTAGTTTTTAATAATAATTACTGATAAAAATATATCGGTGCAAAAGCTTCGTCATTTGTATTCTGATGGTACTTGTCGAACTTATCAGATGTACATATATAAAGGAGGTCGATTACACTGTGCGCTAACGGTACAACAAACACTTTTATGTTTTATGTATGGATTAACAGTAAGTATATTATGTTTAGGGTAACCTAGGTAACCAGAAAACCAATGGCATATACATACCGTATTTTAGTTTTGCTTGCTACTGCCAGTCAGGGTCAATCTCCTCCTTTTTTTCTCTTTTTAATTTCTTTCTTTATATGTATATGCAACTAAGATGCTACCTAAACAAATATATATAAAGCAAGCACGTACTATCATTCGACCATCAATGAACACCAGCGGGGTTTGATAAAGTGCCTTCGTTTAGAGGAACATCAAGTGAGTACGGAATTACGCGACAATCACTTGTTTTTCTAAAGTTTTTCAGGTTCCATACATTTTTGATGTTCGCTATGAAATCGCTGCGTAGCGAATGCACTTTATCTAAACCCCGTGTAGGATTATAGCTAATAGCTAATATATCATAAGGTGACAAACGAGCGAGCGGCCACCTGAAATCGCTGAAATAGCGAAATGACCGATGCCTATAGACATACGCAATTGCATATGCGTTGCCTACCTTTAATCGACGGAGGATGCATAAAAAGAAAATAATTTCCATTCCCATGTATCCTCTCATTCGGGAGTACACTTCCACTTCCTATCCATTCCTTGTAAGAAAAAGGGTGGGAAGGGAAAGAAGACTAAATAAGGCCTCCATGACGCACACTCATCTCAGCACGTGTTCTTCCAGTCTATGTCAAATTTCAACGAGATCCGTTCAACCGATCTGGTGATACCATGAATCAAACATCCATCTATCTAAATATTCGTATTTATAATATTAATAAGTACATTAATGTTGATTTTGTCGTGATCTCGTTTACATCAGCATTTCAAATATTTGACCAATATTCATTATTAGCTTGGCTTTACAAATATTGTAAGACGAGATACACTAGGCGTAACTACTTAACGTGTTACACCTTGAACTTTAACAGTAAATAGTTACGAAAATATTATTAAAAAACCTTTTGTCTATGGCTCAAAAGGGTTATTATTTCAACAATTTACTGACCTAACTGTGATAAGATAAATAAATAATTATGTCTTTAAAGAGTAAACTTTGTTACTTTCATTGAATATTTCTATTATTATCCTATTTTAACCTAATTATAAATTAAAAAATAATCTTACTAAATAACTAGCCACTACAAAATAAATGAATTAATTAATACTATAAAGAAAAAGAAATAAAGAAATTAATTTTTAGATGACTTTCAACATTTAATGAGTTTATTTAAAACTAGCAGTAGCCTGCGACTTACGCGCAGGTTTAAAGTCACTCCGTGATAGTGTAGCTTCCCAAGAGTGAAAGAATTTTTCAAATATGTTCAGTAGTTTTTGAGCATACAACGCAAACAATCAAATCCTCATATATATATATATATATATATATATATATATATATATATATATATATATATATATATATATATATATATAATATATATAATATATATAATACAACTTATATAATATATAATATAAGTTGTCTTACAATCTCACTTTAGTCTTATATTTTAAGCACTATAACAAATAATGATTAAATTTAAAATTATTATTTATAATTTCTAATAATTTTTTTGTAAATAAAAATATATTTGACATCAACTTTGAACAATGAGATCCCAATAATTTTTTATCTCAATCTATTTATCATTTTTCATTTACACACACACACACACACACGTTTATACACACTCACACACACACTATAATTGTTAATTCATAAATTAGTTGTTTATCTACACAAACAGTTATTAAATTTACATGTAAAAAAAGTCCTTTGCTCCTTAAGTACAGGTCTTCCTAGTTAAGGAGCCAAGGCAACATTACATTTTGATTTTTTGTGTATAACAAAAAATATTTATTCATTTGTTTTTATCGTATTTTCATTTGTGAGCTATCAAATATTTTTACTTTTTTAACCTTTTGCATAGTTTCTTGTAATGTAAACATAACCGGTTTATATTTAGACATACATGTTGCATCGCATTGGAAGGTTAAACAAAAAGGGTAAATAAAAAACATCTTCAAATAACAAATTGCACAATTTATTGCACAAAAAATGCACAGATAAATAATTATTTTATCACGTTGTTATCGAAGTATTTAATACTTATTTGCATTGTCAATAGTTTAGGCAGATTCGTCATATATATAAAAATTGACCAGAATTCGTTGGGTGAAAGATCCTTAGTTCTTTGAAGTTGGTTCTTTGTAGGGGTGGGTGGCGATCCATTCCAGGGCACGAAGGATGTAGTCTGGGATCGGCATAGGCGGCGGCGTGGTGGGAAGATGATCACCCTGTAAACATATGGAGACATATTTTAACAACTTTACATATATCCCCTCAAAAAATAATTTAAAAAAAATATCCACAAAAAGCTATAATAAGTTTTCTAATTACATAAACATCATAATCTTTATATATATATAATTCTTCTGTGAGTGTGTATGTTACTGAACTTTTCTCAAACGACTGGACCGATTTTGATGAAATTTTTGTGTGTGTGTTCAAGGGGATCCGGGAATGGTTTAGATTCACAATTTTCATCAAATATTAACTTCATATTAATTTATTCAAATTAAAGACGTGCAGACAGGACAACGTCTGTCGGGTCCGCTAGTATTTTTATAAATATATTGCGACCAGTCTTATGCTTCTATTTATTACTTGTAATTTTTTATTTGTTCATAGGATGATACGACTCAACTTCTTTTAAAACATATAATTTTTGTTATTATGGTTATATACTAAAACCTATAACTTTTTAATAATGAACTTGAAAACCTGTAATTGGCATTACTATAATTTGATTGTACTAGATTTAATTTTATTTAAACTATTGGTTTTCTTTTAATAAATAAACAAGAATTATTCCAGTTATTCAAACGATTGGTGACACAAAAGTGTGCAACGATCATATAAATATTGTGTCTACAACTTTAAGATCATATTTGCTACGTAGATCAACAAATTGATTCTAAAATTAGAAATTATTTGAACTTTGAGAACTACTGGACTATTCTAATCATTATTCACATCCATAATGGAACAGTGACATTATTATAGTTCGAAGATGGATTACGATGTAAGCTAGTAATCTATTCTCAAACTTCGACAGACTATACCACTGTATGCAAATGAAGTAAGGGACTTTACATAAATTTATAATGTAATGTTAGTTAATCTATTTCACGTAGGATGTGCCTAATAAATTAATTGAGCACTTAAATCTATGATATAATATAAAATATAAAAAAAAACGAATAATTCACTAAAATATGTTATTAAAAGGAGTCTCTTTAGGCAAGGTAAAGACTGTTTAGATTTAAGACTTTATGTATATATAATTATAGAAATAAGGATGTATAATAAATCCACGCGGACGGAGTCGCGGGCGACAGCTAGTATTTGAAAAAAAATATATATTTTTTTAGTTTTATTTCCTAATAGTTGTGTATAATTTAAATACTTGATTTACATTTCCCTTGCGAATAGACTGACCAAGTCGCCAAATTGTAATTTATTTTTAACCTATTTAATAAAACTATCAAAATTATGAAATATTGAGCACTTTATACTTCCATAATTAAAATATGCAATAAATATTCTTTATTGCACATTTAAATGATTACAGTACCGCATTGACCCCTTAACAAGTTAAACCTGTATTTCCTTAGACTTAGTCAATGTCTTCCCTGATTGTAATTGCTGATAATAAAAAAATATTTAGTGTTTATCTCTATGTGTAATTCGTTTCAATTCATTTACAATTATTAATTATTAATTATAGAAGTTTTGTGAAAGTATTGAGCGAGGAAAATAAATCAATAAACAAAGAGCACACTGCTAGTCAATTCTATAAAGCTATGAGCTATGTGGCAGTAACTTTAGTACTACAGTTAGTTGCTTTCTACAGTTCAAGATCTGTCTAATCGTTGGTTTCTGAGACCATCTCTGTTTTGTTAAAATAATAAAGACGACGATATGTTTCACACATCGATTTCGGCCTCAGAAACATAAAAATAAGTAATTTGTAGTTAGTATTTATCTTTGCTTACCGTTGGCTTGTAACCGAATTCATCTGCTACGTAAGAAGTCTCGATCTTTTGACCATCAGGTGCAATGTAAGAGACTGAGCCTTGAACTGTGTGAGAGACCTCGTCCTGAAATAAAAGAAATCTTACTAATATTATAAATGCGAATGTTTAGATGGATGTTTGTTTGAAGATATCTCCAGAACGGCTGAACGGATCTCATTGAAATCTGGCACACATATGGAACATAGTCTGGAAGAACACATAGGCTATTTTCTTTAAATCCGCGTTAAAGGAGTCGCCGGAGACAGCTAGTAAATAATAAAGCACAATTAGGTTTTTAGTTATGGTAATATTGACTTGAAAATTTTAAATGTACACATAGTTTAGTAGTAGGTTTATTGAATTCATATACACAGACTAAGGTTCTCACTTCATCAACTTAAGTCACTGATTGCCGCATTAAATTAGTCTAATGATGGCTATTAAGTGATCTCAATGTACGCTAAAGGTAGCCCTTAATTTAGTAAGAATCTTAACTAAAGCGGCCTTTCGGACTAGAGACTTTTAGTGCGACAGTTTGTCTACGAGGGCTGTTTTAAATACCTTGTTTAAAGTCCTGATTACTCCTTCAGCATGCGCTGAGATGCCGTTCTCAGTTTCATAGACGTACTGGTAGCCGCCCTCTGGGTTATGCTGATAGTCGCTGCGGACGACAGCCGCCTTGTCGTCCGGCACTAGGCCGTACGCACAACCAATAGCGCATAGTGCTAATACAACGGATTTCTGAAAGAAATATATTATTAATATTTGATGTAGATTTTAGGTTTATTAATATTATTCATATATGTATGTTGTAACGACTTGTATACAGATACCCGTACCCACTAAACATTTTTTCTATGGTATTAGAGTTAAGCTCACCAGAACTTCATCACATTTATATTGTATATAATATTACAAATATTATTTACAAAGCTTTAACAAATAAAAAGAACGAAACAAAATATTCCCGTGATTTCTATCCAATAATTATTATACGTATTATTTTGGTTGAGACAGCTGTCCATGTATGTAACTTAGGGTTACCAAGGATTAGCTTCTATTGTTCATCATCTCAGCAACTCAAGATACTTACCCACTGAGAGGCTCTGAGACTACCCTAAGCTAGGGGTAACTACGCCAATCTTTAAATTTCTTCGCAGATATGTGCAGGTTGGATTACGATGTTTCCTAAACCGTAAGAACGTCAGATAAATATACATATGTCAATCTAAAACACATTGGCGGGATTCGAACTGATTGCAGATTACAAGTCAAGCGCTTAACCCCTGAACCACCGATGTTCTTAACTAAGCTTAAATCAAATTGACCCAGAAATAGTTTAAAGTAGGAGTCTACTCTTGATATATGCGAAGCGATTTCGCGTAACACTACGATGCAATCTGGCATTTTACTTTCGTTATGTAACAATTTATTACAGAATAACTATTATGCAAACACAATGCTTTGTAAAACGTTTAACCAATAGCAGTTTAACAAAAGTTATTACTTCGATTTTTAAATAAGTAATTCCATTTTTAATTTAAAAATTCTTAATTTAAAATCTACACTTAATTTTGATTTCCGGTGCGTTCCTTTGGAGATCCCGGGACCCTCGCAGACGCACTTGAGGTTAACCACCGAGGGGTTTTTAGTGAGTAAGAATCTCACATAACCCTGTCTTTCCCCCAAAAGGCAGGGTATCTTATGAAGATTTCCCCCGATACCAAAAAAAAGACTTAATTTTGATGATTTTAAATTAATTAAATGTATAAATTAACAGTCCATCAAAGTCCGTCACATTAGCAAATACTTGACCTTTAAGACAGTCTATAGACGAACATTTAGCATCAAACATTTGTAATTTCTTACGTAATATACATTATTGATTAGCAAAGTAATAGAGACAAAGACTTCTGTTTGAATAAAACCAATATCTTACTAATATTATAAATGCGAATGTTTAGATGGATGTTTGAAGATATCTTCAGAACGGCTGAACGGATCAAAGTGAAATTTATCATAGACGTAGAACATGATCTGGAAGAACTCATAGGCTAATCATTAAGTTTTTTTTAAATTACATTTTTTAAATACAAATGTGTTTTTCTATTTTCGAATTTATACATACGTAGTTCTTACGATGAAGGAAAACCATCGTAATTCAACCTGCACATATCTGCGAAGAGATTCAAAGATGTGTAGTTAACCAAACTGCGCTTTACCAGCATGGTTGACTGTCCTAGTCTCATCTTACATAGGGTAGACTAAGAGTCTCTTAATGGAGACTAAATCTATTCATATTAAAATGAAAATAAGTACTAATTAGCGTAATTATTTATCTAAAAATATATTTATGAATATACTTTAATCAGACGCTTACCATTTTTGAGTACGTTCACGTTCCAAAGACGATACACTATGATTATATTTTAAGGATAAAAATCCTTTTATATTCCTTGTAGTAAACAAATACAACAACGGTATGGTCGGTTAATGATAGAAAAGGTCAATTTTTTGTCGTTTTCTCAAAGCTTTTACACGCTTCGGAGCTTGACATTTGCCCGACCATACCAAACACGTTTAGGTCATTAATATCTAGCTTATTGTTTATATTTGGTTTTACTTGTGTATTACATTCTTTAGAAACTCCCGAATAAATTAAACGTCATACTAAATATATTTAAATAAAAACTATAAACCTTTATACAAAGATCAATCCAAATGAAAGAATAATTTTATTTTAATTTATTTAACAACGCTCTGAATTAAATCGAATTTATTATAATTAGTATCGTTGGCATTTATATTTGAGAATTATTTATAAAAAAATGTTGAGTAAAAGGTCAATTTCATATAAAAAGTAAGAGAAAGTTTAATTACGTGATATATAAAAGTATAAAGGGAAAAATTAAGAAAGAAAATTATATAACATTTTCTCAATAAATTTTTGTTTCACACCTGAAAGTCAAGTTAACGTTAGAAATGTTTTAAATAATACTATCTCACTTATATTACAAATCGAATGTTTGGATGGATGGATGGATGAATGTTTGTTTGAAGGTATCTCTAGATCAGCATAGATCTCGCTGAAATTTGGCATAGATATAGAAATTAGCCTGAAAGAACACATAGGCTTATTAAGTGACTAAGTTTTGTTTTAATTCCACACGGACGGAGTCGCGGTCGACAAATAGTCCTATATATTTTCTCTGTATTTCCCGCACTAAAAAAAACATCCTGTATCTAGTAACTTATTTTAATATATAAAATCAACTATGAATGAGTACTTAATTAACTGCTGAACAAACATACAGAGAGATATTTAATTTGATTAGTCCGTTTTACTAATAAAAAGTAAAAATATTTAAACTTTTTCATCCCACGCGGGGTAAAGGCCTCATTCTATTTGAACTTATAACCTATTAATATTGTATTTTTCCAGACGTAACACATTATTTAGCATATAAATTACAAATAAAACAATCCATAAGATCGCAGGTGATTTTTATGTGTGCATTTAAACAATTTATAAAGTATGTAATAATCATAGAAGCAATAGTAGAAAAGTTCGCCAAGAATTAAATCCGTATATCAATTGTTTTAATGTAAGGGTTAACTGATTACGAGCGTCAATGGTGCATGGGTTAAAGCACTTGTACTCTACAGGTCCTGAGTTCGAATCCCGCCATGTACCAATGTGTTTTTTCGGTTTCCGATTTACATATGTACATTTATCCGACGTTCTTACGGTGAAGGAAAACATCTTGATGCAACATGCACATATCTGCAAACAAATTCAAAGATATTCGTGAAGTCAACCAACCCGCACTGTGCCAGCGTGGTTGACTAAGGCCTAGTCGCCCCTAACTTAGGATAGGCTCTGAGACCCTCAGTGGGGACTTATAGTAAGCTGATCAATTCAACACTATTTAGGAAGAGACATTTATGAATGACGATTTAATGGAAAAGATAGCAACAAAAAAAGGATCGTAAGTCCTGTAATGAGTCAAGCTTAACCAAGTTACGAAAATATTTAATACTAAATTCATCCTTATTTTGGGTACTACGTACAAAGTTCTTCGGTATGGACATATTTGAACTGACGACAATGTAACCATGCTGCCTATTCAAAGCAAATAAGAGTATATTTCAAGGATAACTATAAAAGCAAATATTTCGTTCTTTTTAACACATATTATTGTAACAGTTCTCGTAACTATTTAACTTTATAAACAGCTAGCTGTCGCCCGCGACTTCGTCATCGCAAAATAAGAAGTAGCCTGTAACATGTCCGCGTACATCAGTTACTATCCCGTCCAAGTCCTGTCAATCGGTTTTGCAGTTCCGGAGATTACCCGGTATAGTTCATCGATATTACATACATACACTCAAATTTTATTAATATAGATTTCAATTCAAACAAGCAGATGTTAAAATATTGAACAGGTATAAAATAATTTACAATTAAAGATGTTGCTTGCCTTTGGTGAGGTCAGACATTTTATGTTAAACTCGTTGGGGAATCTCGCTCATACAAAACTCACGCAACAAACGCGTGGCGCATATTTAAATAGTATATTTTTCATTGGCATTCTTTAGGTATTAAAGCATTAGTACGTCATTTAAAAACGAATGCATTTGGATAAGCCAATTCGTTTTTGTAAACTAATTTTTGTCATTCAGTTATCTTTAATCAATATATTATACAACATCAAAACCTTAACTCCTTTCTTCTTATGTTTTCATTTAATGTATGAATTTTATTTTAAACTAGCTGTCGCCAGCGCGGAATTGAAAGGACCTAATAAGTAGCTTATCTGTTCTTCCAGACTATGTTCTATATGTGTGCTAAATTTCAGCTAAATCCATAGAGCCGTACTGGATAAACATTCGCATTTATATCACTAATTTAGTATATGAATATCAAAAAATTTCAGGTACATAAGTGACATTTTGTTTATATGTACTTAAGTTTACATCTGTATCATTAAGACGTGACTTAAGTTATTTTTTTTACTTATTTGCAATGTCTTCTTTTTCGTTACAATTGGACACTGCGGTCAAAGATGCTATGACCTTCTAGTTTGCCTTATGTATTTGTACTTAATATTCATAGTTATTTTTATTGAAAATCTATAAGTTCTGCCTAACTCTCTAGGCTATTGTGAGTATTTTATTGTTTATATCTTAAGCAATCAATAACTTTTTCCTGACATGTAGTCAACATACGTGTACAATGAGGGGCTCGGAGCCTAGTCAGGGGTGACTAGGCTATAGTCAAGGACTCTGGATAAGTAAATATGGGGTTGGTTGACTTCACACATATCTTGAAAACTTTTCGCTGATATGTGCAGATTGCATCACGATGTTTTCCTTCACCGTAAAAACATCGGAATTTTGTGTATAAATACGAGTATATGTATGTATATATTACATATGAATAATTGGATAATTGTCTATCCATATCGGATAATCCGCTAATTATTTTATTATCTCTTTCTATTTTCATATACAATTTCTACTGTAGAAAAAATAAAGGCATAAAACGATTCTTTATTTTTATTTATATAATCTTTGTACACAATTAATTAAAACAATTGTGTTTATACGAACTTTCATTTTCGATCGAGCGAACATTTTCTTTCTATCCCCGATCTTGTAATCGCATGTAAAAAACTAACATTGTAATAAAATTTTGTTTTATTTTAAAAACTACTAAAATACGCTAATGGATGTCTGCACACAATAAAACTTCGAAAACCGGTCGAAGATAATAATTTTGATTTCCCTAATAAAATATTTTCAAGGTTAAAAAACTTGTCTTTTAGCTGGTCCATTGAATTGTAGATAATAATGTTTAAAAAAAAAATTATGCACCTGTGTGGAACTTCGTTGACTATTTGTATTATAATATTCAAACTAGCGGCTCTAGCTGTGAGTTTTTTGGGCAGGTGTTGAGGAAAGCGCGCGCAGATGCGTGCCTTTTTTCGAGAGGGATATGCTTTATGCATACTCCGCGCCCCGGATGAGACGCGGTAGTGATATGATTCCCTCCCTGATAGGGAAGATGCCGATTGAACCCCCTGTTCCTCCTACGCATAGTGACAAGGCCACGGACACCCATGAGCTTCCGTCCATGACCATTACCTGCACGCAGATGTGTTCCTAGGCACTTTATAAACTGTTCGGTTATACACCAAATTATATCTTCCGCAGTATCTCGTGTCATCTTCCGAGCAGCTATAAAGTTTGAATAGCACTATACGAAGTATCAGTGACAGGCAAACGAGTTGGGGCCATCGTCTGTTAATATTATTCTTATGGAATCACCAACATTTCGTTTGATATTAAAATTAGTAATAAGAGGTATTCCACACTCGTTTTTATTCTTGTTAATTAATTATATGTCGTTTGACTACATTTTTTTTCAATTGAGGTACAAGTAACTAAAATAAATGACTAGGGTCTCCAGTTTGTGATTAATTTTTACAAGACTGTTTAGGTCTCTACCGCGCCGTTTAGAGACAAAAGAATATTACGTTTTTAACTAACAAAGATTTATTATTTAACTTTTATCAAATAAATAACTGTATCCCGTGATTCCGAACGTTTGGGATTAAAAAAAAATCTTAATTAGTAGCCGATGTGTTCTTCCAAAATATGTTTTACATTTATGCTAAATTGGAGCCAACAATTGGAGAAACATGCAGCCGTTCTGGAGATGCCTTCAAACAAACATTCGCATTTATAATATTGGTACGATTCTCTACATTTAAAAATTATCTTCGTTTCATAGAGACTTAAAATATAAAGGGACGGAAAAAACGGCTCTATTTTATTATACTCTACGAAAGTAATAATTGCAAAGAGCAAACAGCGAGGCAATTCCATTTTCAAATGAAGAAAGCCAGACATTGAGATGTCCGTTTTGTTATTTAATCATCCTTACAACACAACCTATTGTCTTAAACTTATTGTTATAAACTAGCTGTCGCCCGCGACTCCGTCCGCGTGGATATAAAAAACAACTTAATATATAGATAAGTTAAATAAAAAGCAGCTCTTCAAGGCATAATCACCAATTTTGAACCATATCGGTAAAGCCGTTATAAATAGTGTAACTAACACGACCGTGTTTTATATATATAGATAGATGCAAATGATCGGAATGATGGATGTTTGCTTGTAGGTATCTCCTGTCCAGCTGCATGTATCTCGCTGAAATTTGGCACAGATGTAGAATGTAATCTGGAAGAACACATAGGCTACTAATTAAGTTTTTTTTTTCATTCTTTACGGACCGAGTCGCGGGCGACAGTTATATATTTTGTATTAACCTTTTCATAGCCAACAAAATGTAACATTAACATTTAATCAGATATATAAAAAAAAAATTTTTTTGTTATTATTATAAAAACTTTTTCAACTATTAACCTGTCCTATTAAGCTTGATTAGAATTTAAAAAAATGTGTCAATTACCTTTATC